ACCCCCTAAACAAGCACTCAATTAGCAAAAAAGAACGAAAAAATAGCTAAACAACTTCTCCAAATAACCTTCCCATTATAATATGCAGAAATTTTGTGAAATATGCTATAAAGCATAGAATTGTCATGATGGCAGATACCATGCCCTGATTTTTACCATATTTGCAGCATCATATGACATTGTAGAGATGAAAAACTAAGGCAGTTATACTAGCAAAGTAGCAACAGGAGATTAATTTTTCTTTCCATCCCTCCTGCATCTACGTACAAGAATATGATTTTCAAAAGCCAATGGATTTCAACATGAAGTTGTACCTTAGTGTGCGGTGAACTTAATTTCTGAATGACATCAATTATGTGATCGGACTTCACAACCTAAAAAGAAGAAAAGGCACAAAAGCAATTTAGTGAATAACCTAAAACCAAAACATGTCAAATCTTTTGAGCCTATGCCCAATCTGCCTAAAAATCTGCAATTCATCAAATACAATACAAAAAAGACAACACCCATGTCCGGTTCTTAACTCGATCAGAGATCGATGGATCCAATCCAGGGAATCTAGCATTCTGAAACACCACGCATGCACATCAAATCAAAGTGCTATTCCATCCAGAAAATGCAATCAGATCAAAAGCACGCACTAAATCACCCTCTATCTTTCAATTATAATACGAGTATGAAATAAACATCCCACTAAGGAATTGAACTTACCAGAGGAGAATTTCTATCTTCACCAATATAACCTGAAGATAATTAAAAGAATAATCAGAGGTTGCTCATCAGCCACTCATAAATCACAGAAGTTAAATGACTGTATGCTTGAACATTTCACCTGTCAGAAAAACCAAAATCTAATGCAACTGAAATCCCGATGAGTACACTCCTTTTTGGGTGGCTCTCATTGTTGAGCTCGTCATCTTCGCTTGAAGTAGCCTTCACCATTTTCTTGATTGCAAAAGAGGAAGAAGAAAAAGACTAATGGATTTCTAATCAATGACGAATGAAGCCTTATGGTCCAAACTGGAGGAAGAACTTTGACAAGATGCATGTTGGCTAGCTCTGTGATCAAGAAATGCAGAGAGAAATGGATCGGTTTCTGATCAAGATACGGAGAGAGAGAGAGAGAGAGAAGAGAGTAGATCAGTAGATTGTTAAAGGGGATGTCTACTTAGAGAGAGAGTAACCTCTGAGTGAGAGAGAGAAAGAGTTGCAGAGCAAAGGGAATGAATAGAGAGAAAGAGAGAGCCGTTGCCTCAGAGAGAGCGAAAGAGTCGTTGCCTTAAAGAGAGAAAGAGCCGTTGCAGAGAAAGAGCCGTTGCCATATAGAGAGAGGCGTGGACATATATAAAGAGAGAGCCGTTGCGTGAGAGAGAGAGAGAGAGCCGTTGCCTGACTCCGGTGGTGTTCTCCAAAGACCCATAGGGAAAATTGCATAAAACCCTAAAAAATAGACGGCATTTTACCCACGTTAATTTTTTTTTAGCATATTTCTCCTAAAAATTAAATTTTAAAATAAATTTCTTATTTTTCACAATTTTTATTTTAATAATTTATTCATAATTTAATCGATTTTCTCAATTTTGGGATTTTAGGCCAGCTATTTATTGAACTCGGCTCGGCTTTTTTTCACGCTAAAATGTCTCAGCATGGTTCAGCTAACGTCGGCTCAACTTAGCTAACATCGGCTCGACTCGGCTAACATCGGCTCGATATGGATAACATCGGCTCAGGTCAATGAAACTCAACATTAGATTTAGCTATTTTAGCTGAGTCGATTTGAGCCGAGCCGATATAAACTGAGCCGAGCTGATATAAGCTGAGCCGAGCCGATATAAGCTGAGCCGAGCCGTTTTAAGCCGAGCCAAGCTGATGTAAGCCGAGCCAAACTTCTATGAGGGTCAAATGAATATCAACAAAAGCAGGAAAATTTTAAAGTGATTTTTTTAGAAAAAAACGACTCTTTTTCTTTAGATTATATGTAGAAAGATAAAAAAATGGGGCCTGGCTCGAGTGGTTTGTAATCAGTCGACCATTGTGCCCCAAAAAAGGGTTACATCTCGAAACTTAATAAGGTTAGTAAAAAGCCAAGCTAAAAAAGTGCTTCCATGGCCTTCTTCTGGTTTTCTGGGTTTTCCAATTGAGGGGAAGAATTGGAGAAGGGAGCGATGCCATGCCTTCGTCGACTGCGAATTTCTAGAATATGATTGGAGAACGGAGTGATGCCATGCCTCCGTTGACTGCGAATTTCTAGAACATGATTGGAGAAGGGAGCGAAGCCATACCTCTGTTGACTGCAAATTTCTAGAATATGGAGAATGTCACGGCTGCCTCAAGGCTTCCAACACCTCACTACCTTTCAAGCATTGGATCTTCCGTCGACACGCGATGAGTTTATGGAGTGGCTGCGCTATGAAGAACGTTACAAAGTGGAGCACATCTCGCTCATTCGAGTTTCGCAGGAGACCACTGAAGGATGGTAGATTACCACTCTCTAGAATGTTGCCTGTGCGTTCATGAATGCGAGCTGCTCATAAACTCATTCCATGGTAATCCTCTACCCCAAATCTTCATTAAACTCATTCCATGGTAATCCTCTACCCCAAATCTTCATTTTCTTTTAGACAGTGCGCCTGAGTCTCACACTACCCTAGTCTTAGCCCATTCCATTATCACCCATGACCCCTTTGCCATGCTTCACTCGTTGCCCCAACTCACGGCTCTGATTTTGCTCGGGTACTCATATGTTGGTAAACGTCTAGCAAAATGCAGCGGAGGCAGCTTCCCTAAGTTTCAAATTCTACACAGATTGGGGTCAGTTTTTGTCTCATTGCTTTCCCTGTGAATGAAGATGAACTGCAATTGCAGTTAATATTTAATGTTTAAACTGAATTGATAGTTTGCATGCTTTAATATTATAATGCACTAACCATGGTATTGTTGGACCAAACCATGTGAATTGTAAACGTTTGTTGACATTGGATGTGTAGGATTATGTGCGTGCTCATAAGTGTGCCATGCTGATAGACATCAATATTGTGTTAAAAGGCTTATCATCTTGAACAAGGGGGTTTAAAGTAAAAATAGTCACTCATTTGGAAGAAGATGAAACATAAAACTAGGCGATGAATGAAACTTTCCTCAATAATGCATATTTACCTTAGGAAATATTCCCTTCTATAAGTCTTTTGTGGCATGCAATGAGAAACAGACCATCAATGTATGAATAGGGCTCATTGGTTCTTTGTGGATATGTTAGTGTTACTCCACAAGCACTTAATGATTTGTTGGCTAGATTTATATATGAAATTCTTTCGACCTCTATTCAATTATCCTCCGCATTTTGTCATACTGATTCCACGTGATCCTTACCTAGGTTGAGCTACTACTAGGACTAAGTGGATGTCACTCTTTGGTTGGAAGAATTAGAGGCTTTGGATGATATTACTTTGGCAGCAAAGTAAGGTATGTTTCTTTTTTTATAATAGGAGCCCAGATTCTTGATGTGTTGTTTGATGCATGCATGCAAAGTTTTATGGGTTTTATGGGAGTGAGTTATTCATTATTGGGTGACATGCTTCATGTATGCGGAAGCAAGGGAAGAGGAGAAACTATGAAATCAATACAAAGGACTTCAGTGACATTGTGGAATAGGTTTGTTCTGAGTGCATTCTAGAGTAGGTTGGAATTTTTGTTTGTGTTGTTCTATGGGTTTTCACTTTTTTTTTAAAAAAAAATTGAACTCTATGCAGGCTAAGAAAAAGAGGAATCGCCAGATGTAGGAAAACGGAAGGGAAGGCAATTAAGAAGGAATTCAAGTTTTAGGCACAAAGCTATACATCAAATTTGCATGCTCCCCCTCCCCCATTGGATATATTATGTTTGGGGAATATACTATGAACTCTGAAATTTGAAATATCTGACACATTGAAAGTTCTTATTGACATGTAAAATGTGAAGTTCTTTGGTTGATCTTGGGCCCATCGTGGTTCGATTAATAAATGGACAAGGCAGCTAGCTACTATTGAGGTAGGAGTGATGTTTAAAGGGAATTTGATGAGTGAATCCATTATGAGATCGTCGATGCATCTTAACTGTGCCTGAAGTTGGTGGAAAGTTAGAAGTGGTTTTATTTTCTTTAGAAGTTATTTTCACAGTCTAAAGGAGCATTATTAACAGCATAAAGGAGCATTATTATCAGCATAAGATATATCCATTGTTGTCATGAAATAATGGGTAGCAAGCCAGGGAATAATAAAATAGCGGCAGATCAAAATATCAGTAAGAAATCGATTTTATTTCAAAAGGTCGAAGGAAAAAAATCAGTTAAAAAATATGGATCACCAAAAAAAAAACAGTAAGTTATAGAGTCATGAATATTTTGAATTTGGTTAAAAAAAAAGTAGTAAAAAAACCAGATATGCAAAGATCATAGTTGCTAAGTCTCCGTTTAAGACATGATTTTCTAAATAAATATCTGATTTTTTTAAATCCGTTAAGAATCTTGAGCTTTTTTAATAGTATTGCAATAAATTCGGATTTTATCTTTTTTAAAAAATACTTATTCCTTGTAACTTTATTTATTTAATATTATTGAAAATTGGTTTAAAGAAAAGTAAAGTTACAATAAGAGTAAATTTAAAATCTTGAATTAACAAAAAATACCATTAAAAGTTTTACCGATGAGTTCCCTAAAAAAGTCTATAAAAAAATTCAATATGTTCCCAAAAAAAAGTGGCTAAGGCAGTCATATATCTCAAAATAATGGGAAGAACTAATATGGAGAATGTCGCGGCTGCCTCAAGGCTTCCAACACCTAACTACCTTTCAAGCATTGGATCCTCCATCGACACGCGATGAGTTTATTGAGTGGCTGCGCAATGAAGAACGTTACTAAATGGAAGCACATCTCGCTCATTCGAGGTTTGGCAGGAGACCAGTGAAGGATGGCAGATTACACAGTAGCATGACTCTTCGAGTGATTTCTATAATGGTAAAAGTTAGCTTTTCTAATCATTATTCTCGAAGATAGATATCTCTCTTTCTCTCTCAGTGTTCTAAACCCTCTGCTTATGCATCGAATTCCACCATTTTGTTTTGTTCTCTCACTATATTAATTATTGAAAGTGAAAAATTTAGTCTCTAATTCTCTATCTCTATTTAGTGTTTCTCTCTAAGATTTGTTTTTTGGTTTCTGGATTTTTCAAACATTTGTTCCAAGAATCTTTGGGTCTAAAGGGAGATATTGGAGAAAAAGCAATTTATTCGTTGCCTCAGGATGTCGTCACACGTTAACGTACCCCGTAAGCAAAATGGTTCAATCGCCTTTGTTTCTCTTATTTTTCTCTCATCTTTGTATTAATTTACTTTGAATTTGCTCTGCATTTCTTCTGAATTCAACTGTGTCACAAGTTGATTTCTTAGTTTTTAGAGAGGCATGGATTGTCATAACATTCCCAACTTCATGTCCCTTTCAATTTTCTTTTCACCAATGATTTGACCCATTTTAGAGAGAGAGAGGTTGTTATAGGAGGCTATTGGTAATACTTCTTGCTGTTTTTTCTCCTTTATCTTCTTTTTCTGATATTGTGCTAAATTGAAACAGAAAATGAGAATGAGAAAAGTTCTTCGTATGATTCTTCATATTGGTAATACTTTATGATTTTCCTCTGTGTTTGGATTTGGATGTTTTGGTATTTTTTTAGGATATGTATTGTTGAAGTTATGCTTTCAAGGCTTCTCTTGTGTTTTATTTTCTTTTCCTTTTTTTTTTGGTATATGTATTTTTTTAATGGAAATGCCATCTTTTGGAGATTCTAGAGTTCTTATAGGGTTTAGGGAATTGAATTGTGTTTCTAGGGCTTATTTTGTGGTTTCTAGTGGAATTTTCTTCTTTCTCCCCCCCCTCAGTGGAACGCTTAGTTGTCAGAGACGATTTCGGATATCAAATGCTTAAATTTTTTATTGATTATCTTGCTCATTTATGCTTTTAAGTGCTTATGATTAGCATTTTTTTTGTTTTGCAGGGAGGGATGCTATATCCTACAAAAGTCAGACTCAAGCTTATGGGTATTCAAAAGAGTAGAAAGGAGGAAGAAGAATCTCAAGACTTGTTACGATTTGAAACTCAAGATCTTGATGACCAAGGTGAATGCAAAAACTTTATATGCATTTTTTTTTGATTTCATTCTTTTATTAGAAATTTGGTTTGGGAAGATAAGTTCCTTTTGCTTGTAGTTGCCCTTTTTCTATCTAAGCTTTCCTTTCGTTGCTCTTTCTCTCTCTCATCACCAGTAAGATGCCCCTAATTGCCTTTTCTCTCTCCAATCTATCCTTTGTTTGCTCTCGCTCTCTCTCTCTCTCTCTGAATCTTGTATTTTGTATGCTCTCAGCCTTATTTACCGGTATCGTAATAGTCTCTTTCTCTCTCTCAGAATACCCAATAGGCCATAACTTGTTTTGTTTATTCTTGTATCTTTTACGCTCTGTTTCAGTCTTGCGCGCCCATATACAAAATGGATACCTATATTTACAAATGTCAAAGCATGGTGTTGCTCCATTCAGGATAAGTTGGAAAGGTATGGGATTCTACTACCCTTTGTTAATCTATTTGTTGAAGCGATTTATTGGTGGTGATGAATCTTTTAGATTTTTTTTTTTTTTTGAGAGAGAGCAAGCGCTCAGCATCAATCTCCACCTCGATCTCTCTCTGAGAGCTAGACTTCAATCTCTATATCCATCTAGACTCCAACCATGACGAGCCCGAGAAAGTTCAATCTAAGGCATGAACGAACCAAAGAGAGAGAGAGAGATTGTTATGAAGGGGAAATATATGATGGTTGAGGTAGAGACAAA